TTTATTATCCCTGGTTTTGCCAGATCTGCTTGTGTGTGTACCTGGGAGAGCAGATTTGGTTGGACCTTTAGAAGAGGCAGAAGCCTGTGCCTGCGATAAAAGCTCATTCTTCTCTTCTTGTTCAGAGGTTCCATTTTGAGTTGGAGGCGGCAAGTCACCGTATAGAGACATGATTATAAAGGTGTTTACAAAAAGTCTTGGATAATATAAATTATAGATTATAAAGATGGTTTCAAAAGTCTTGAATAATATAAATAAATAAATGACCTTTTATGTATCTATCATATGATCAATATACTAACTATAATTGATAGTTTTCTAGAATTTTCGAAACCTAAATCTTTTACAAGCGGTTTGGCCGGACGCGTTTTATCTCGTAAATCAAAAAGCTAACCCTGCTTTTTCACACTAATAAATACCCAATAAAAAAAAAGCAAAATGAATCCGAGTTATTTCAAAACGGACGCGGCAAAGGCTCATAAGCAAGTTTTAGCCGAGGATTCAGAAAAATTGGCACAGCACAAGGTTTCTATGCATTTCCTAATAGTTTCAAAAAATTGCTTCTTGCCATTAACACATTCCTTACTCAAACAGATTCAAGACACAGCCAAGCGCTTTAGCTTTTTGCTAGGACATTCAGGTTATTTTATTAGATATATCAGACACTTTGGCGCGTACTAAACATCAATATGTCAAAAATTATATATAGAGCTGTTTTCGCATTTCATCGACTTGAAGGTAGGTAACATTACCTGGACGTTGTCTTAAACGCTTTTCATTAGTATCTCAAAAATTATTTGATCTTTAGAAATCCAACGACGAAGAATTCAGAACCTTGGTCGAGAATACCGAAAGATATACTAAAGCAAATCCGAACATTATTGGGTAAATATAACCTAACACATTTCTTTATTGATTCTTTCCTTCTTTCATAATGTACTATAACCTTTCTCTCTCTAGATCTCTAAGACATCGAAAAACCGAACAAGAAGAGGACGAGGTTGATCTAACTTCTAACCAATTAATGATTACGTTTTAATTGTTATAAGCCATCTTTATGTTAAATTTTGTTCATTTTTAGGAACTATTGAAAGATGAAGAAGATGATTCTGGTGGTATTCCCACAGTTTTCAATGAATCTCCTAGCTGTATGTGCATATTATTCGCTTCCTTTTAATTGCCGTATCTTATTATTATCATTAAGATCATGATCATCATCATCATTAATATTATTGTTACTATGATGATGACAATTATTATTATTACAAACTAAATAACAATGCTCTTTTGCCTCGATAGTTATTCATAATGGAGTAATGCGTGATTATCAACTCCAAGGACTGAATTGGATGATCTCTCTATTCGACAATGGCATAAATGGCATCTTGGCAGATGAAATGGTAAATCATATATTAAGATTTTAAAATACTTGATGCGTTATAATTTTTTGATCTTTTTTCCTATGAATCTTTATTTTCAAATAAATTATATACGTATGTGTGTGTGTTGCGTCAAATATAGGGCCTTGGCAA